GCATCTAACAACCACAACAAAATCTGTTCATAAGGAAGTGAGACAGTTAACGTGTATTGTGCCAACCTGGCCGATAAACACACGTGGGATTGATTGAAGGGCGGAGAGATGAATGGCTCAGCGAGCCTCGCCTTTCTTGTCTCTTGCTCTTTGATCATCGGACCAGTGTGCAGCTGTCTTGCTTGTTTTTTGCCTCCATTTGCAAGCTACACCACCTGTGGGACACCTAGCCCATGGACTCTGTCGCTGTAATTTGAGGTTCCTTCAAGACCTGCTTCACCACACCATTGAAATTTACATCACTTGAGCTGGGGACTTTCGGGCCCTGTCATCTGGCTGACTGTTGATGACCTGCCTTGCTGTTTGCTGCCTGTGCCTGAATTGCTCAACTGAGGACTACCCGGTGGCCCTCAAGACTTGAAGGACTGCCAGTGTCTCACAACTGTCTCACAGGAGCGTGTTGCACTGAGCCATTTGTACTGCTTTATAAGTTAATTAACTGTTTACTTCTTATGTTATATATCTATCTATCTGTATAAATATATATAAAATTATTAGCGTTCTGGTTTTGTTTCTCTAAAGAACCCTGTCGAACACATTTGGTACCCGGAGTGGAGTCCAGAACAAGAAAAGTCTCTTCAATAGGTTCAGGCTGCCGTGCAAGCTGCTTTGCCACTGGGACCATATGATCCAGCTGACCCGATGGTGCTAGAGGTGTCAGTTGTAGATAAAGATGCAGTGTGGAGTCTTTGGCAGACCCCTATTGGTGAATCACAGCATAGACCATTGGGGTTTTGGAGTAAAGTCCTGCCATCCTCTGCATACTACTACTCCCCCTTTGAAAAACAGCTGTTGGCCTGTTACTAGGCCTTGGTGGAGAGTGAACACCTCACCATGGACCACCAAGTCACCAACAGTCAGCCAGATGACAGGGTCTGACATTCCCCAGTTCAAGAGATGTAAATTCCATTGGTGTGGCGAAGCAGGTCTTGAAGGAACCTCAAATTACAGCAACGAGTCCACAGGCTAGGTATCCCACAGGTAGTGTAGCTTGCAAATTGAGGCACAGAACAAGTAAGGGAGCTCCAAACTGGTCCGGTGATCAAAGAGCAAGAGACAAGAAAGGCGAGGCTCACCGAGCCATTTATCTCTCTGCCCTTCAATTAATCCCACATGTGTTTATCAGCCAGGTTGGCACAATAAATTTTAACTATATCAATATAATGCTACTTCTATGCCCCAAAACATGGATAAGTCTGCTACTCTTACTAATCCATGGTGTGAAATAGTAAAGCTAATACCTACAGTAGCACCACCGATAAGTAAGGTGCTAGTTAAAGGAGAGGCTCTGAGTGATCATATCTTTGATATTTTCCAGTTTTGTCAGGATGACAAGTATAGGGAATCTGGTTGGCTGGTCCTTCTTACAATGGAAAGTAAGGAGAGGGATGGTCTCAGAGCCTCAGAAACGCACCTCAGGTGCCGACTAACAAATTTGAAAGTTTCCATCTGTGCTACAAAGAAGAGCCTTCTCTCCTCTAATAATAGTAATGTGTTAGACAGGATTCTCTAGAGAAACAAAGCCAGAATGCTAATAATTTTATATATTTATGCAGATAGATAAATATATAACATAAGAAATAAACAGTTAATTAACTTATAAAGCAGTACAAATGGCTCACTGCAACTCACTCCTGTGAGACAGTTGTGAGTCACTGGCAGTCCTTCAAGTCTTGAGGGCTGCCGGGTAGTCCTCTATAGAGCAGTTCAGGCTATCTGGGCACAGGCAGCAAACAAGAAGTTATTCACTTCTGCCAGTTTTTCTATCAGTGTTCTATAAGTCTGTCTGAGGCTAGGTTCCCTAGTGAGGCAAGACCAGTGAAGCCTATATATGTGTACATAGAGATTCCTATATGTGTAAATATAGAGGTTCCTATATATGTATATTCAGATTCCTATATATGTGTATATACAGAGATTCCTATCAAGGAAATGGCACACATGGCTATAGAGACTTGTGAGTTCCAAGTCTTTGAATGAGATGCCAGGCTGGAAGCTTCTGCTGATCCATTTATCCTAAAGGGCTGCCCAAACCCAAGATCAGCTGGTTGGACAGCAGGCTGCTGGCTGTGGACACAGATAAAGACAAGGCTGGTGAGCAAGAAGGTAAGCTGCTAATCCAGTCACAATCTTCAGAGGCTAATAAATCACAAGATTGGAAGGCAACTAGCTCAAGCACGAAGAACCAAAGGCCAGGTAATTATGGCACCAGATACAGGATCCAGACCCAGCAAAAAGCAAGCAAACTTTTCCACAGCGTCCACTTCTATAGGAAATAGGCCACATCCCTGAGGAAATGTCCTTTCAATTACATCCGGACTGTGAGTAACAGGAGTGTATTCCACACTAATCTTCTTACAACTGCCTGGCTGCTCACAGCAGACTCCAATATGGAGTTGAATACACTGTGTTAGGTCACACTGAGAATCTTTGACAAGCCAAGTTGACATACAACCTAATTAGCACACTTTTTCAATGTGTATGCTGAACAACTAATATCAGAAACTGGACTGTATGAAGAAGAGTAGAGCAGCAGTATTCAAGGAAGACTTATTAACAAATTGTGATATTGAAACACCACCTTACTTGATAATCTGAAGCTTGACAATAAAGACCAAAGACTACAGTACAGATGACAATGTGAAGAAAACCAAACTCGTCACAACTGGCCCCTCAGGGACATCATGACAAACGGAGAACAGGCTGACGTTGTCAAGGATTTCGTCTTGCTTGGATCCACAATCAGTGCTCATGGAAGCAAGCAGTCAGGAGATCAAATAATGCAGTGCATTGGGTAAGTCTGCTGCACACAACCTCTTTAAAATGTTAAAGATCAAAAATGTCACTTTGAGGGCTGAGTTAGTCTGGGTACATTAGAGAAACAAATCCACAGAAACGCATATGTATAAGAGAGAGTTTTATATAAAGGGTAAGTGCACATCAAGAAAACATCCCAACCCAGTGCTGTCCAAGCCACACGTCCAACATTAACCCATATGTCCGACACCAAGCCACAAAGTCCTCCTCCATCTCACAAAACACACGCAATGTTGCCGACTGCAAGAGGAAAGACTAATCAGTGAACGTGTAAGCATCTCAGCGCTGGCAGGGGTCTCCACACGGCTGCTCCAGCACCCAGGGCTGCACCGGGGTAGGTTCATGTGGCTTCTCCTCAGGGATCTCTTGCAGGAAGTCAGCCTTGCCAGCTAAAGCAGGGAACTGACTAAGGCAGCTGCACCCTGGTCCAACCATCAGAAAGCAAGAGACCCGAGAACTCAAAAGGTGAGGCTCACAGAGCCATTTCTCTCTCTGCTCTTCAATTAACCCCACATGGTTATCAGCCAGGTTGGCACAATAAACTAACTACGTCAAGGGCCAAGATGCCCCTATTTCAAATAATTCACATGCACATGAAAGTTGAACAGTATATAAGGAAGACTGTATGCCTTTGAATTATGGTGTTGATAAATAACACTGACAGTACCATGGACTACTGGGAGAACAACGGAATCTGTCTTGGAGGAAGTACAGCCAGAATGCTCCTAGCAGGGAAGGTGGTAAGGCTGTGTCTTCTGTTCTTTGGACATATTATCAGGACAGACAAGTCTCTGGGAAAAGACACGTTTGTCAAAGTAGAAGGTCATCAAATAAGAGGAAGACCATGCAGCAGACAGGCTGACACAGTGGCGGCAACAAGCAGCTCAAACAGAGGAGCAGTTGTGAGGATGACGCAGGGCCGGGCAGGGCTTTATTCCACTGTGCACGGGTCAATGCGAGTCAGAGTCCATTCAATGGCCCTTAGCAGTGACCTCACATATTCATTTAAATTATAAACAGGATCTCCCGTTGGGGATGGTGGGAGCACAACCTAGCTGTGGACCTTAGTAGTTCCTTAGAGGGAAGAAGATCATAAGTTTAGCACCCTTCTGTGGCAAACTGAAGAAAAATTAGGGTCAACGAGGAAATGGACCACTCAGGAGCCTTCGAGGGGCAGTGCAGACGGCAGTTCTGTGGTCAATGGCATGGCAAGACCTATCTGCTCATTTTGTGAATTTTCGATACACATTAAGGGCAAGCAAGGTCTGTGCCAGGCGTTCAAGCATGACCTGCATTGCTGTGACACATTGTCTGGTGAAAAGGAGCAGATAAACAATGTGGTTCTAGTCTTACATGCACACACATGCACCCATGTGCATGCACACGCACACACACGGAGTTAAGCCAAAGGATATTATTCTCCGAATATGGGTTCACTTAAAATAACACTATGAGATATTCACAAACATGCAAGCTTGACTCACTTTCAACTGTCTTTACATCTTCCACTAATTACTCCCCTGTACGTGGGGAATAAGCCTGTTGACGAGTCTATTCTATTGATTGGCAGTTGATGCTCATTTCTTCTCATAATGTCCCCTAATTAAGAACATTTGCATGCTGTGGCTCTCCTCCTGCATTGTTTCCCCCATTATAGTTTTCAAATGTTGCTTTCTCTCCTTTCTTCCTTTGAGTTCAACTGCAGTGTTTACTTCAGTGTGATATACACATATAACAACACTTGCTACAGTGTTTTCATCTTTTTCCAAATCTCAGCCGCAATACTCTGGTTTCTCTTCAGAGGAGAGAATGCATCTTTTGCCTTTTACCAAATCTCAGCTGCATACCTTTCTATCTTTCTGTGAAATCAATTCTACAAAAATGTGCAGCGAGCAACAAGCACTGGGACTTTAGCAGAAAACACGCCTAGTTGCTCTTTCTCCCTCCCCCAGATATAGGGCTGTCCCCTACATTCTTCCCCTGCAGGCAGTGAAAACTGATCCGTATGCTCAGAAGTTTCACCAAAATCAAATCTAACCCATACAAGCACCACAATATGAGACTTGTGTGTCATGGAAGGGTGCCCCCCCCACTACCCCTTACCCCAGAGAGTAAGACTGTACCTGAGGGGATGAGGGGCTGAAGGCCACCTGGGTGACTGTGTCCGTGTGTCCTCCGAGCCTGTGGGAGAAGGTGCTGGACCCCATTTCATACATGTAGACCTAGGGACACAATCAGACAAGAGACCACTGATGCTGTGTCGGGAGTGCCCATCATTTACATGAAGCATGCACAACAGGTCTTTACGCCACAGCCCATCGGGTGTGTCAATGAAACACGTCAGTCATGCCGTAGAGCTGACTTTACAGAACATGTAGAGTCTCTTTCCCCGTGTAGGTTTTTCAGAGGTTAATGAGCATCCTGTTTTCTAGTCCACATCTTCAGTCTCCTGCATCCCTGGGAGCAGTTTCAAACAAGTGTTCATGTTGGGTGACTAATTTTAAAGACGGGGTATAGATTTGAAGTCACCATGGCAGCAGGGTGCTGGGCTGCTGCCAGGTTAGTGGTTCAAACCCACCAGCCGAGCCATGGGAGGAGAAGTATGGCAGTCTGCTCTCAGAGTCTTCAGGGGGCCGATCTGCTCAGTCCTGCCGGGTCGCGGTGAGTCAGAACGGACCCGTGGCAGGGGGTGAGTGCAAATTTCTATTGCAACCTGAATCTGGTGTTGCAAGTGGAGCAGGACAGGGGTAGAGACTGGTCTTGGGGGAGTGTTGCCTTACTCTCCTTCCCACTAACAGGTTCAGACTTTGAACTATAGTGACAAACTATAGTGACATAGTCCATTAGCTGGATGTCCCAAGGGAGTGTAGCTCACAAGTTGAGGCAGAGAACTAGCTAAGCAGCCACACACTGGTCCAATCATCAGAGAGCAAGAGACAGAAAGCGAGGCTCGCCAAGCCATTTATCTCTTTTCCCTTCAATTAAACTTCAACCTTATTAACCCACATGTGTTCATTGGCCAGGTTGGCACAATAATCCTACCTAGCACACTCACCAAACAACCTTCTCCTGTGTTGGTCCAGTGGAAAAGGTGAAGGAAGAATCTGATAGGACTCACCTGTGAGGGATTGTGAACAGGATTCCTGCTGTGTAAAAATGAGCCCTCTGAGAGTCAGGAGGAGGGCTCGCACTACCAGCAAGAGCCAGGAGTGAGCGCGTTCTCTGGATCCGAAATCCCTGTGCTACGAGCCTCTGGGATCCAGAAGACAGCTGTGGCATCAGAAGAGGAGCGGCAGTCCCAGGAGCCAGAACAGGGAAGAGAGCTATGGGCTTCCCAACCCACTGAGCAAGTTAAGCTGAGTGCTTTTGTGCGGGATGCTGGCTTGCAGAGCGGGTGTCTCTGGGCACTTAGTGGGGGGAGTGGGTTTGCTGACTCATGGAACTTGAACTGAATGCCTTCTGGTTGAGGTTGACGCAGATGGTCATTTATTAGCAAACCTGAAACTGTATAACATGTCCTGATGAACAACTAACCTGAGCCTTTATCACCAGTACTGCAACTTGTTGGCTTCATTAATAAACCCGTTAATCATTAATTCTGTCTGTGAGTTTCTGTGTACCACTGCAATAGCCACTAAAACTCAAAAGGAGTAAAATAGAGACCATTAATGAAGATGTTAATTAAGAATGAAGGATGACAAAGAGAAGCTGTGAGAGGACAGGATCTCAAGAAGCAGAGACGGCTGGTGTGAAACACTGCAGAGAGAACAAGACGACGTCTAGGGAGAGTCCTGTGTTGTATGTAGTTAGGGGATGCTGCTGGATGGGGACGATTAACGCCGATCCACAACCCGTTTTCATGAGCACACCCCTCAAGCGACCCCACAACACACTGCATTGGGTAAATCTGCTGCACGAGGTCTTTAAAGTGCTGAAATGTAAATATGTCACTTTGAAGACTAAGGTGCACCTGACCCAGTCATGGTATTTTCAACGGCTTGATATGCATGTGAAAGTCGCACATTGAGTAGGGAAGATACCAATCTATAAAGTTCTCTTCCGACTCATGAAACACAGGCAATGACACCAGGAAAAAAAGGTATTTGCCAGGAAGAAGTCACTGGTCTTTTCAGCATTCTATCGTGTGATCTCTACCTTTATTTCTATCACCAAGATCATATTTTCCAACTAGTGTTCCTTCCTCTTTGTTTCCAACTTTGGCATTCCAACCACCAATAATTACCGATGTATCTTGATTGCATGTTTGATCAATTTCTGACTGAAAAGGTGGTAGAATTCTCCAATTTCTGCATCACTAGCTTTAGTGGTTGGTGCACAAATTTGAGTAATAATTTTATTGATTGGATTTCCTTCAATGGGGATAGTCATGATCCTACTGCAGACAGCATTGTACTTCAAGGTAGCTGTTCAAATGTCCTCTTTTATGATGAACGTAATGCCGTTCCTCCTGATTATGTCATTGTTGGGACAGTAAACCATATGATTTTCTGATTCCAAATGGCAAAACCAGTCCATTTCAGCTCACTGATGCCTAGAACATCAATCTTCTTGCATTCCATTTCAATTTTAACTATTTCCATTTTTCCTCGATTCACATCTTGCACATCCCAAGTTTCAATTATTGATGGATGCTCGCAGCTGTTTTTTCTCATTTTGAGTTGTGCCCCAGCAGCCAGGATGTCTTGAGGCCTTTCCTCCCGCAGGCTTGACTCCGCCCACATCATTATGGTTGACAGCGTTACTCTGAGACGGCAGCTCTCCCTCAGTTGTACGATGAGTGCCTTCCCACCTCCAGGGCTCAGCGTCCGGCTCCATCTCTGACAGTGCTCTGCTGTGGTCATTAGGTTTCAGTAACTGGCGATGCTTCGCTGGTATCCACAGATTTTCAGTGGCTGGTTTCTCTGCAGTGGACAGCCTATCCCTTCTTCATGGACTGTTCTTAGTCTGGAAGCTCCACTGAAACTTGTCCACTTTGGGTGACAAATACAAGTGGCATCACCTCACACATTACAGTAACACACAAGTCACCACAGTGCAAACAAGCTGACCGACAAGTGGTCGTAAAGCAGCACAGTTAGAGTTTTTGAAATAAGGTCTCTCATCCCTCACTTGTTATTATTAAAATACTGTTCCTCGGTCAGACTCTCAAAATACTGAACAGGGTCAAACTTTACATAGGTCCTTACTCTCATGGGCAATTACACGAGACAGGACACACAGTCATGGAACTCAGGTCTGTTTGAAGCAAGCACAGGGCACACGCATCAAGGTACCTACATATCTGTCCTCCGCACCACAGGCCACGTGCCGTCCACAGGCGCTGAGTGCAACCCCACATGGGAGGCAGCGGTTTGTGTGGCCCTCAAAGCGCCGCTCACACCTGCAGAGGTAAAGGAAACACCAGGTGGAAACTATCGTGCTGAATTTTCAACACAAATTGGGAGAAAGGAACCAACTCCTTCCTTTAACACACAAGAAAAGTACGGGCTGACAGGAACAAATGTGTCCGCGTAGGAGGGTTCTTCCGCGGTAAGCAGGCTAGTCTTCAGAAATTAAAAATAGTATTTAAAAACGTTTAAAGTCATGAATTACTTAGATCGAGAATTCAAAGACTTCTGGGAAATGTAACATTCCATCAAGGCAAATCAAATCTCACAATTCACAAGTTACAAAGGTCCATATATAATTTTTTAATTCTAAAAGAAATCACTGTATTGGTGCCAGGTATGTAGAGAAAGCCTCCTACACCTATTGAGGTAGCCAGTGACTTTCTACGAGAGCTTTCAACAGGTGGTAACCCCCACTGAGAAAGGGTCCAAGAGGGCAGGCAAGGGCACGCAAGGGCAGAGGCTGACTGGGCAGCATCTTCTCCTTACAAGTAAGCAGGAGGTTCTGGGCTCGTTCCAGTGGCTAGAGAATGAGCACGGCACTCTGTGTGTGTTAGGCTCAGAAATCAGATGTGCAAAGACGATGGTGGGTAACAGGTGGGTAGGTAAGTAGGTAGATGATAGACAGATGCGTAGGTAGAGAGAAGGATGATAAATTGCTAGGGAGGTGGGGAGATAGACAGATATGGTAGATGAATGGATAGATACAAATTGATCAATACACAAGCAGATGGACAGACATGACTACAAAGAGATGACAGATATGGATGACACGCTGAAACAGAGAGATAAGATGGATGGACGGATAATGGATGAGTGGAGAGATGGTAGATTTGGCAATAGGCGGGGGTGTGGTTACACAGCATCGTGAATGCAATGAATGTCCCCAAATTACACAGTCTAAATGGCTGCCATGACAAAGCTCTTGTTCCACATATTTAACACCCCCCAAACAAACAAAGGCTACCCACGTTGGTTTCCACAGGAAAGTAACATCTGGCTGTCAATGGCTGAAGACAGCGAGTGTCTCCAGAAGCCAGCCAGTGGCCATCCCTTGCCTCCAGGTCTGAGACTACACAGTGGACAGCAGATCCAACAGCCACGGGGCTGTCGCCTATCCCGCGCTTCCCTTCCACACAAGCAGGACTGGGGGTGAGGGCAGAGAAGAGGGGACTCTACCAAGAGGAAGGGGCACTGGAACTTCTCGGGGTGCGCTCAGGGCCAGATGCAGTGTAGACAGGAACCCCACAGAGAGGGGAGGGCTGTGTCTGGGACATCTGCTACCTCAAGCCTTCTCCACCTCCCATGGCCTCTGGTCACAGACTGCCCGGGCTTCCTCTCGCGTCACACATGCTATAGGGACAGGATGCTGGACCCCCACCCTGAATGACCAGACGGGCTGGTGTGGGCAGACTAGCCGGCAGACCGTGTTTGGGGAAGGGATCAGTATGAGAGAGAAATAAGAAACCTAAGAACGTGGGGGTTTTGACCAGGGCAGCTCCCAGGGATTCCCGCTGGCCTCGGCCACCCTTGGTGACAATGGGACGGGTTGGCCTCACCTCAGGGTCCTCAGGTCCCACAGCTTGACCCCGTCGCCCACAGCGGCAGTGAGGAAAAGGTTATATGCCTCAGGTTGCTGGGCCACAAAGGATGAGCCCTGCGGGGAAGATCAGGAGTTCACAGTGAGCAGAGAGGCATCGTGCTAATGAGCAGAGGGCAGAAAATGACAAAAAACAACTTGGTTTTAAATCTATGACTTCAGAGGGGGTTCCAAAAGCTCCCACACAAGGCAATCACTAGGGCGCACAATGACCTCCAATGTCTTAGGGTAGACCCCAAGATGAAGGCAGACTTCTGGTCCCAGGTCATGTAATCCTCTCGTCTGCTCTCCCCGGCACGGAGGTCGAAGGCCTGCGTGAGGCCATGGCCGTACACCACCCTGTCTACACACATCTTCAAAGCACTCCAGTAGAGGAGGCCTCACCTCAGCTGGGCCACTTTCTCACGATGTGGGGCAGGGAGGAGGCGTTCGGTTGCTGCCCCACAACAGTGTGCAGAAGTCACCCCGAACCAAGCCACTCCTCCCCGAGGGACACGTGAGCCTTCCTGGAAATTCACGTCGTGGGGGGGGGTGCGGGGGGGAGGGGGCATGTGTGTCTCAGAGACAGTGCTTGATGACACTGGAGGAGCAACTGCCCACTGGGTGGGGGGAGGGGCATGCTTAGCAATATTGATAAAGAACCCAAGTGGAGAATATGCCTGGTCCTGTGTTCCTAACTGGACGCTCGGACCTCGTTTCTACCCAGCCCTTGGTCACCCAGGCCAGATTCCAAGACGACTGTCCTTTCCAGGCACACCACAGCCTGCACCGGCCACACCAGAAGTACTCGCTGTGGAAACTCCAGGCTCCCATCTCGGTGTGTGCAGATTTCAGGGATCAGCGTTTGTGAATGAACGTCATCACACTTGATGATGCTGAGACGGAAGGAAGGGACATCATTGAGAACCACAGTCTTGGGCAGGACAGCCCTGCAGGTGGAGTGGGGTTCAGTCCACTCACCATGACGCTCTGGCGGCAGCATGGGCACTGGATGGGCCAGGCCCTGGCTATGAGATCAGAACCCAGCCTGCCCTGGAGCTTCAAGTGTGTGGCAGGAGCTGCCCAGGCCAGTCTGGCCTTCTGGGCCTGGGCTGTGCATCTTCTCGTTGCAGAACAGACCCATTAATAGCTGACCTGAACACCCTAAAGGGCTTCTAGAGGGACCTTGGGCTGATTTCCACTCTACACTTTTAAGATATATCTTGGTCTCTTGATCTTTGCCATTTTGTAGTTATTTAACTTTCTTTTTTTTTTTAAATCATTTTATTGGGGGCTCATACAACTCTTACCACAATCCATACATGCATCCATTGTGTCGAGCACGTTTGTACATTTGTTGCTTTCAACATTCATGCTTCTCCCTGATTTAGCTATCTTTCCCCATATCTTTGTCACGTATTGTGGATTAGGGGAGGGTACAGAGCAGACCATCAGATTGATATGTAATGGCTCCTGCAGACTTTGTTTATCCGGACCATCGCTCATCCCACTTCCTCCTGCGATCTCCCTGTTCTCTCCCTCCTTCTTCTTCCCTAACCCCTGCCCTTTGTCCTTGGGTGAATGCTGCCCTTCTCATCTTAAACGGGCGATTGTTCTGACACAGTGGTGAGGCAGCCCCGGAAGGTGACGAAGTGCAATAGTCTGGGAATCCCATCATCTCTGCGCAGCATCTCAGCCTGATCTCCTTCATGATTTCGGGGTTTCCGTCCACATTCCCCCCTCTCTGTCTAAGACCTTCTAACTCCATCCTTTTCAGAACAACCAGCAGGCCGGGCGCCACCTGGTTTTTCTGGTCTCAGGGCTGTGGATGCCGGTGTTGGCCGGGTTCATTTCTCCCTGGACTGACTGACTCCACATGTCTTTCAGTTTTCACCCTCTTCTTTCTTCTGGACGGACAAAGACAGCGCCTGCACCTTAGATGACTGTTCATGACCTTTAAGACCCTAGCGGCACTGACCCAAGTAGAATATGCAATACTCTTGTGAACTACCCTGTTTCCCTGAAAATAAGGCAGTGTCTTATATTAATTTTTGCTCCCAAAGATGCACTAGGTCTTATTTTCAGGGCATGTCTTATTTTTCCATGAAGAAGAATACGGTGCACATTTATTGTTGAACAACAAAAAAGGAAATTTATTACCTGTATATGGTACGGTAGTAGTTGTCATCACAAACCAGCATAACCAGACAAACTGTGAATCCTACAGTATCAAGAATGTCTAATTGTGAGTCAGCCAGACTCCGTCAGGGCAGAGCGAGCAGCAGGTGGCAGCTTGTCCTGGCAGCGGCACAGGCTCTCTGATTAAAAGAGACCTTGCACTTCCTGTCTGCTCCGGCTGCGCTGTGGCCAACAGTGAGCTGCGCAGCGGCACCCGCCGCTACGGTCCAGAGATACGGTAGCTTCAGGGGGGCCTTATTATCAGGGAGGCCTTATTTTTGGGGAGGTCTTATTTTGGGGGTGCCTTATATTGCAGCAAGAGGCAAAACTGTAAGTAGGTCTTATTTTCAGGAGATGTCTTACTTTTGGGGAAACACGATATATGTACAAGGCGGTACCCCTACCCCCACCCTCCTGATAAGCAAGCATTGAACAACTTGCTGTGAGTTAGTGCACCCAGTGGTGTCACCTGGGGATATTCTCTCTGGTCACAGTTAATTTTTGTGTAAAAGCAGTTTTGCTTGAACCTTGTTTTTGTGATGACCAATTGAAGAGAACAGTGTGAGACTGTGAAGTTTTGTTTCCTGCTTGGGAAAAATGTTGCAAAAACTCTTGTGATGTTGAACACAGCTTATAAGGACAGCACTATGGGTAAACTCAAGTCTATGAGTGGTTTGCTCATCTCAGAAAAGGTGAACCGTCCATCTGCCTACAGTGGGTTAGTGCCCTGCAACTGGACATCCCCGTATAGAAGGGTCTTGGGGAGGAGATGAGCCAGTCAGGAGAAGCATGAATGTTGAAAGTTAAATAGCTACAAAGTGGCAAAGATCAAGAGGTCAAGATATATCTTAAAAGTGTAGAGTGTAAATCAGCCCAAGGTCCCTCTAGAAGCCCTTTAGGGTGTTCAGGTCAGTTATTAATGGGTCTGTTCTGTAACGAGAAGATGCACAGCCCAGGCCCAGAAGGCCAGACTGGCCTGGGCAGCTCCTGCCACACACGAAACTCCAGGGCAGGGTGGGTTCTGATCTCATAGCCAGGGCCTGGCCCATCCAGTGCCCATGCTGCCACCAAAGCGTCATGGTGAGTGGACTGAACCCCACTCCACCTGCAGGGCTGTCCTGCCCAAGACTGTGGTTCTCAATGATGTCCCCCTCCTTCTGTCTCAGCATCATCAAGTGTGATGACGTTCATTCACAAACGCTGATCCGAGATGGGAGTTTTCACAGATGGGAAGTAAGGATGATGCCACAAGCTCGCACGCACCACGTTGTAGCAAGCAGACCCCGGTGCCTTGAGTCCTCCCCGACAGCCTTCCCCACTGCCATCCCGTGGATGGCAGCTCACAGGAACCCTGTGGGACAGGGTAAAATTGACCCTGTGGGATTCTGAGGCTGTAAATCTTTAAGGGAGCAGAAGCGACCAAGGTGACTCCCACAGGATGGCCTGGCCGATCCAAAACTCCTATGCTTGTGCCGCTTACCAAGCACAAACACAGCAGAACGTGGCTGCTTCCTGAGTCACTGGCAACAGGCCACCTGGCCAGCCTCCCCTGTGCCGTGGCAAGCTGGGATCTGCTCAGAGGGTAGCTGTGAGCCGCAGCTCTCGCACAGCGTGGGTCCTTGGGCACTTTGATGCACATTGTGTAACCAGACAAAAATTCGAGAGACGTTTCAAAAAACAAGCGATTAAAAGGCGGCGTTGACTGCAGAAACCTCACCCCCTTTGCTCTCATTGCATCAAATACCATCCAGATGTTTATTTCAGGAAGTAAAACCAGCTATTTTCCCATTAAAAACTCAGAATTGCTTTTCCTGATGTGACACCTCCCATGCAAGAGCATACCACAGCAATTCCACAGGGCCTCCAGTCACCAACGGCCACGTGGACTTGGTGGCCGGGTGCTTCAGCGTCACCACCACATGGGTGCTATAATTCGTTTCCTGCAGCAAACAGCCAAGCACTGCTAGAACTGCCAGTAAGCATTTGGCTGCTAACTGGAAGGTTGAGAATTCAAACCCATGAGCCCCTCTGCAGGACACAGATAGGCTGTCTGCTCCTGTACAGATTTACGGCCTACAGTTATTTCATCTTGGAAGAAGTAGAGCCAGACTGTGCCTTAGAGGTGAAGATGGCGAGACTGTGTTGGCATATGTGAATAAGGAGTGGCATCAGGAGTGGAGGAAGACTTACTAAGGACCTGCGATGGGCAGATGGCACAGCCCTGCTTGCTCAAAGTGAGGAGGACTTGGGAGTGGAGCACTTGCTGATGAAGATCCAGGACTGCAGCCTCAGTGTGGACGAGACTCAATATCAAGAAGACCAACATCCTCACAACCGTGCCAGGGGCGGCAGCACGATAAACAGGAAAAGATTGACGTTGTCAAGGGCTTCCTCCTGCTCAGATCCACAATCAGAGCTCCCGGAAGAGGCAGTCCAGAGATCAAAGGACACATGCAGTGGGTGAATCTGCTTCACAGACCTCTTTAAAGCGCTGAAGGGCAAGGGGGTCACTTTGAGGACTAAGGTACCCCTGACCAAGCCAGGTGGCTTCAATCTCCTCCTGTGCACCAGGAGGCTGGACACTGACAGAAGGGGGAAAAATGATGCATCTGGTGATGGCGCTGGAGAGCCAGGAGCTGGGACAGACTCGGCAGCAGAGGGTCTGCATGCAGCTGCCAGCTGCTGAGGGAGAAAGGAGGCTGGAGACCCTGTGGAGAAGACCTGGAGGAGGACGGGGGGTTAGGGGGGGGGGGCCCTAGGGGCAGGGGAAGGAGCCAACTGGTTCTCTGAGCTGTGTCTCACCAAGAGCAGAGAGGCAGCACCTGCAGGAGCCCCAGGGAGCACTGCTATGCCTGTGCAGAAGCCAATGAGTAGCCAGCTCAGCATCCTGGTTAGCCTCG